AAGGACATTTGTCCTTAGGTTTAGGGTCTACCTTAATCCAAGATGATCTCATCTTGAGATCCTTACCTCAATTATATCTGCAAAGACCCTTTTTCCCAATAAAGTCACATTCACAGGTTCTGGTGGACAAATCATTTTTTTGAGTGGGGAGGGCCTTCAGCTCACTGCATGGGGTGAGAGAGGATGCCGAGGGAAGACTTCCTGGAGGGGATGCTTGAGCCTGGTGTTCAGGGGTGAGTTTGAACTAGTAGAGGGAATTTAAAAGGGAGTAGAAACTCTTACCCCATGAAAAAAAAAAAGTGATTGTGATTTTTGGATGCTGCCACCTAGCAAATGTGTTGGCCAAGGAAGGTTTTGTTGTTCCAGTTCGTGGGGCTTTGTCTCTCCCATGAAGCAGAGCTCTCAGACCTCTCAGGGCCTCGACCCAGACTTGGGTCTTCTGGGTCTGCCCGTGTCATCCTCACCAAGACTGGGACAAGCTGGGAGGAGGACCTGTGACAGGCACACGCAGGACATCTTGGAGCTGAGAGGGATCTAGAGACTGTCTTCCTTCCAGTCCTGACTCCAAAAGCACCTTTATCGCCTTAGCTCATTCTCCTAGCAGCCCTGAGAAGTATCAGGACAGCCAGTAGTATCATTCCCATTTTGCAGATTGCACAACTGAGGTCCAGAGATGGCAGCAAAGCTGCTCAGATGACACATCAGGTCTCCTGCCTCCCGTACCAGCCCCTCCCTGGCATCCCCTCCTGGAGACCTGTGGGAACTGTCCCAAGGAAAGGACTGCAGAGACCAGCCTGGGGAGTTTGTGCCTGGAGCCTCAGAGCAGACCAGCTCTAGGCCCCAGTTCCAAGTGGGTGTGAGTTCAGGGTCACAGGAAGATTCTGGGAGCTGAGCTAGGACAGCTCATCTGCTCCCTGGCCTCTCTGGGGAGCCGAGGGTGAAAAGGGGAAAAGCTGGTCACAGCCTCAGCTGCCCGTCTGGGCTGTGATGGACGATGTCATTTTTGGCAAGTGATCGCCATGTGTGCCCCAGACCTCAGCCAGATTGTCTTGAAAACGGGTGAAGGTGCATTCCTTGAGGGGCTGGGAGAAGGAGATCAATGAGGAGGTGTCCCTGGAGGGTGGAGCTGGGGACCCTGGGGCGTCAGGAAGGGTGTGAACAGACATGGAAAGATGCACTCCACTTTCTGGAAAGCAAGGCAGTTAAGAGCAGGGCGTGGAGTCAGAGCAACCTGGGTGTGCATTGGCCACTAGCTGACCATGTGACGTTAGCCTCACTTCCTCATGTTTACATTGGGAGTAATAGCAGTACCACTCCTGAGGGTTGTCGGGATGTGTGAGCTCATGCAATTAAAATGCTTAATGTAGTGTTTGAGCTATTGTGTGCACCAACCAATTATTATTTATCACAAGGAACCAAAAACAATTTAAAACATTTAAGGAAATCCCAGTGTTTGGCATATACTGAATGCTCAAATAAATGTTAGCTATGTGTATACATATTACGAGGGAGGGGTTTTTACCCCTATTGGAGAGATGAGGGGGCTGGAACTTAGAGAAGCAAAGTTCTTGCCTGTGTCGCCCTTGACCTGCCCTTGAACCCAGAACTGGGGAGACAAGTGGGCAGGTGCATTGGTCCTCGGGCCTTCTTGGTCTCTCCCACCTTCCCAGGCAAAGGCCATTTTAGGAGGGAAGCCTGAGAAATCATAATAACAACAACAACAGTAATAACAATAACAGCGTATTGCTTACCCTGTAACAAGTCCTGTTTGAAGTACTTTACATGTGATATTTACTCCTCACCACCATTCCGTGAGTTTGAAACTTGTGATGATGCCCATTTTACAGATAACACAAGTGAGGTGCAGAGGATAACTGACTTGTCCAAGGTCATAGGGAGATCACGCAGACCCCGGATTTGGATGCTGGCAGCCTAGCTGGGCCCAAGTATGTCCTCGACCACTCTGCTGTACTGCCTGGACCTGGGACAGAAACGGGCTCAGGGCAGGAGGGATGTGTGTTGGGACAGAGAGGAGGCTGATGGGGCCCCCCTCCAGGGAGATCCAGGGGGGTGGGGTGGGGGGGCACATGCCAACGCTGATTCACTTAATTCCTGGTGGGATGGGGTGTGAAGGGTGGACGGACAGACATGCCCAGAGGATGTCAGTGCCACCTTCTGCTGGCCCAGCCTGGCCCTGCTCAAAGATGGAAAGACGCGGCCTCTGACCCCGAGCTGCTCCCAGCCCAGCGGGAGAGCCAGACATGACGTTATTTGCGTCTGTCGCATCTCTGCAGACACTGCGGTGTGGAGGGTTGGGTCTGGAGACCCTGCTTCTCTTCACCCTCCTCGCGGGGTTCAGACACGCCCCCTCTGCCAATGAGGGGGACATACTGGGGAGTGGGGAGGTGGCTTGGCATGCCCTCCCTCCTTCCATCGTCTTAACTCCTAGCTGTCCTTTAAAACTCAGCTCAGATCCCGCCTGCCCCAGGAAGCTCCGGCGCCCAGGCTGGGGAATGCGCCTCCTTGGGGCGCCTTGGGGCATCCTGGCCTTGCCCCCCACCCAGCACTACCTCTGTCTTGTGCCTTGTGACTGACTGAGCTTCTATGGGAAGGGACCCTAGGGAAGCTGTTTCCTCGTCCCTGGGGCCCGCACAGCCCTGCACAGGGACGTGGACATGGTCGTTTCTTCCTCAGGGACATACTCGGTGGCTGTCATCAGATCACGATTTCGGGGGCAACGTGGAGTGACGGTCTAGAGTCCAGGTCCTACCGATCTGGCTCAAATCCGGGGTCTCCTGCCTCCTGCCTGGATGCCTTGGGCAAGGGTTTTCGTCTCCTTCGCCTCATTGTGGCTCTCATGGGGTTAAAGGGAGACCACCTGTGTGAAATGCCCAGCACAGTCTCTGGCATACACTATTATCCCCAACACCAGTCTCAGTTCCCCCGATCGTGGTGGTGGGGGTGGCTGCGGTGTCCCTGTCTTCTCCCTGCACTCCAGAGCTAAAGGAAGCCCTCGGGCACCCCTCATTGGGCACCTCTGAAATATCCTCCCAGCCTGCAGAGTGGGACGACACTCAAGCTTGAATTCTCAGTCCCTTGGGCCCAGAGTCCTTAATGGAATTTTCCAAGTGGCTTTTATTTAACAAAAGCCAAAGATGACTTTTATGCGATAAAATATAACCTCGAGTCCATTAAGGACCAGTAATGCTTTTATATGGAGGAAGGTTGGAGTTGTTTATAATGAAGCATCGATTGGCAGTCTCACGGGGCTGAAACATCTGGTTAGGATGGGAGAGCTGGCGTGGTGGACAGTGCACTGGCTCTGGGGTGTCAGAGCCCTGGGTTCAAATTGCAGCTGTGCATCCCTGGGCTGTAACATAATCACTAATATTCATTGAGGCTTTACTACGTGCCACCGCCGAGCCAAATGTTCCATATACCTGATGCCTATAGTTCTTATTCCGCTCTGTGAAGTAGTGAGCATTCCCATTTTACTGATGAGGACACTGAGGTTCAGAGAGGGGCATGTTCAAAGCCACACAGCTGGGAGGCGGCCGCGGCTGAACCATGCGTGTGACAACTGCCCCCAAGACCTCCCAAGCTCAGAAACTCCTCAGAATCTCAGTTTGTTCTGTAAATTGCGAGAATACCCAATGAGGTTGTTATGGGGGTTGTATGAAGTACCAGGTAAGTGGTCTGGCATACAGTAGGTGCTCAGCGAACGTCTTCACGTCTGTCTCCTCACAAGACCTCTGTGACAGCAGGGCCCCAAGGGTGCCCAGGGAGAATGGTGCTTTTCTGGCTGGGCCTCAGTTTCCACAGCTCCAAAACAAGAGTGGTAACACCTGCCTGGAAGGGCCCTGGGGAGACTAAATGACACGAGAGACTTGAAGCTCTGGGCTCGTGGTAGGTGCTCTGGTCCTTCTTCTGTCTTCAGAGTGCCCACACTGCCTGGAATGGTGTTTCCTGAGTCCCGCCCCAGCAGTGGGTTTGCAGGGAGCATCGCACTCTCTCCTGCACCCACCTCTGCTGGGCATCAGCTCTGGACGTGCTGGGGGGAAGTGGGGGCTGGGATGGAGGGTCCAGCAGTTGCTCTGGGGTCAAGGGGCTCTACCACTTCCCAGCTGAGTGACCTTGGGCACGTCACTTGGCCTCTGCTTCCTCCTCAGCAAACCTGGAGTAAGGACACTAGATCCCGTCTCTGGCTTTGAGTCTACCCCAACCTCTGGCTCTGAGACCTGGTCTAACTGCTGCCTCCCGTTCTTCCCTGCAGGTGTTTCCAGCTGTGCACAGGGACTGATTGGCCAAGGACCCACATTGGAGAGCTTCGGATGCCATAACAGTCCACGGTGAGGGACTCCTGTGGTCTGAACTCGTGCCTCCAGAGGGCACCAGTGGGGGACCGCTGAGGAGGTGGGGTGCGCTGGAGAATGCCATCACGGCTGCCCCCGGGAGTTTGAAAACATGGTTGGAACCGAGTTCACAGCACCGTGCACCTCTTTTTTGTTGCACTTAGCGTCATCGCGATTTTTTCATGATCTGAGGAGTTTTTTGATGAATGCTCATCTCCCCCTCTAGACTGTAAGGGGAAGAGGAGGGTCCCAGAGAGGCAGCAAAACATGGTTGTCGAGAGGATGGCCTCTGAAGTGGGGGTTTGACTTCCCAGCTGTATGACCTCGGCCAAGTGACTTAAGCTCTCTGTGCCTCAGTTTCCTGGTTTGAAAAATGGGGTTCATAACTTACCTACCTCGTTGAGTTGTTGAGAGGATGGAGAGGGTTTATATATATGTCAAGCCCTTAGAATAGTGCCTGGTATACAGGAGGTGCTGGAGAGGTGTTTGTCACATGAATAAAATAGCAAAGCAGGAAGTGGTTAAGCCACCCAGTGGGCCTTGCTTAGAGCCAGGGAGGACATTGTCAGTCTTGGTGGTGTTGGTCAAACTCTTAAAGCCAGTTCCAATCAAGGTTCCCCTGATGACGCCTGTCTCCCTTCACAGAGAATGGAGGACGAGGATTACAACACGTCCCTCTCCTACAGTTATGAATACTCCGATGATTTGGAACCCATTGTGGTTTTGGAGGAGTCTTCTCCGCTGGAAGGCAGGGTGGCCAGGATCTTCCTGGTGGTGGTCTATAGCATCGTCTGTTTCCTCGGGATCCTGGGCAATGGCGTGGTGATCATCATCGCCACCTTCAAGATGAAGAAGACCGTGAACACTGTCTGGTTCCTCAATCTGGCCGTGGCGGATTTCCTGTTCAATGTCTTCCTCCCGATGCACATCGCCTATGCCGCCATGGACTACCACTGGGTTTTTGGGACGGCCATGTGCAAGATCAGCAACTTCTTGCTCATCCACAACATGTACACCAGCGTCTTCCTGCTGACAGTCATCAGCTTCGACCGCTGCATCTCTGTGCTCCTCCCCGTCTGGTCCCAGAACCACCGCAGCGTCCGGCTGGCCTACCTGGCCTGCGTGGTTATCTGGGTCCTGGCTTTCTTCTTGAGTTCCCCGTCCCTCGTCTTCCGAGACACAGCCCATGTGCACGGGGGTAAAATATCCTGCTTCAACAACTTCAGCCTGTCAGTGGCCGGCTCCTCCCCGTGGCCCGCTCAACACCAACTGAACCCTGTGGGGTTCGGCCGGCACATGGTGGTGACCGTCACCCGCTTCCTCTGTGGCTTCCTGGTCCCTGTCCTTATCATCACAGCCTGCTACTTCACCATCGTCTGCAAGGTGCAGCGCAACCGCCTGGCCAAGACCAAGAAGCCCTTCAAGATCATCGTGACCATCATCATCACCTTCTTCCTCTGCTGGTGCCCCTACCACACACTCAACCTCTTGGAGCTCCACCACACTGCCATGCCTGGCCCCGTCTTCAGCCTGGGTTTGCCCCTGGCCACTGCCATCGCCATCGCCAACAGCTGCATGAACCCTATTCTGTACGTCTTCATGGGTCAGGACTTCAAGAAGTTCAAGGTGGCTGTCTTCTCTCGCCTGGTCAACGCTCTGAGTGAGGAGACGGGCCACTCCCCCTTTCCCAGTCACAGGAGCTTTACCAAGACGTCCTTGATGAACGAGAGGTCCTCAGTAAACGAGAGGGAGACCAGCATGCTTTGAGCCCCACCTGGGAAACGTCCAGTGGACACTCCCATCCTTGGAGGCCCAAAGCTATGCCTTCTCAAGACCACGCAGGAACCTTTTCAGCACCCACCAATGCCCACTGCGTTTTGCACGGGGGTGAACAGTGCTTTGAGCTGGGACTCCAGGGCTGGGAGCCCCTTTCTTCCAGTGGCATGGTGGACAGAGCATGCCATGTGGCTCAGCCGTGGGCCGGCATCCCATGCTTCTTGGGAGACCAGCCTTGACTGATGCAAAACCAAAAAGGGAGAATTCTCAAAAGCACTGCCGTGAACTGGGATTGGCAAACGATAGCGAGATTAAGCTACCTACTGTGTGCTCTCCAGGAATGACACAAACACTCTCCAAGGTCCATTCCTGGTGTGAGCAGAGGAGGTCAGAGCAAACCCAGTGTGATGGAGATCACACCTCGCCCCGTGTACCTATCTTAGTAGCCGGCCAGACGTCCCACCCTGCAAACCATTCCTCTGGGTTAGGGCGTGTGGAATGCACAGGTTACCTGGGAGAGGAAGGTGACATGTGAGCCCAGGAGTTCCCAGAACCATGGATTTGGCTTTCAGATCAGCTCAGAAGACAGAGGACAGGTCCTAAGGGGCCGTGTGGGCTCTTTGTGAGGACAAGACAAGCCGGGCTGCATTGAGGACTTGGGGTCTAGGAGAAGGAATGGAGAAAGAAGAGGAAAGACCCTTCGAAGGGTGCGGCCTGCAGCAACTCACCCCGGAGCCTCCCTGGGTGATGGTGCTTTGGCCGTAGGTACTTTGGGGTGGGGTGGTGCCAGCCCCTTGCCCCGGGCCCTGCTCTCACTCTGCATTTGGTATTTGGGGGCTGGGTCCGGCAGGCAGCTTCACCAGCAGGCCCCACTCCATCACAGGGATGCCTCCCTCCTTCTCCAATCCACTGGCTCTGGCGGGAGGTGCTCAGAATAAAACACTCCAGGGCGGGGGGTGGGGGGGCGCATCTCCTCCTCCTCAACTTCCTCAACGCCTTGCTGAAGACTTGTCCAAAATCAGCTTCGGGAAGCAACCCGGGAGAGCCTCGCGGGCCAAAGAGTGTGTCCGAGGGCTCAGTCATGGAACTCGAAGCAGAATCTGGAGGCTGACTCCTTGAACTGTGCTTCTGAGAGGTGGGCTGTGGGCGCCGCAGGCACAGAGCTCCCCCTGTGTGCGGCCATCCCGTCTTTTCTCGTCTAGGACCCACACCTTCCTGTGCTACAGAGCGTCACCGTCCCCTTTAAAAACGACAAAGCTGAGCTCAGAGGAGGGAAGTAACGCCCCCAACGTCACACAGCTAGCCAGAGGCAGACTTAAGATCTGAACTCACCTCTGTCTGGCCCCAGAAACTCCGTTCTTTTATGGATACCGTATCTATTGAGAATATTCTGGACTATAATGATAGCCTACATTATTTAGCACTTCCTATGTTAAGCACTTTACATGTGCTATCTCATTTATTCCTCAGCAACCCTGAATTAGGTACAATTATTACTTTCTTTTTGCGTATGCGGTATCAGGGGCTCAGAGAGGTTAAGTAACTTGCCTGAGGGTGCCCAGCTGGTCTCTGCGAGAGCCTGGATTTGAAACTAGGTCTGTCTGGCTCAAATAAAGCTGCAGAGGCTTGGGGTTTTGAGAGAGGCTTGGAGTTTTGACCATAAATATAGATTCCTCAGCAGAGTAATGTAAACATCTTAATGGCCTTTAAGTCACCTTTGTAAATAGTTTTCAAAAATGACCCAACATAGCTAAGAAAGTGCACTTGGCCTCAGGCTCCCTCGACATCCATCCACACACACCCACCGTGGCTCCATCTCCTGCCTCCTCAGAGATCTCTAGGGAGGGCGGTGGGGAGAGAGGCCTGGTGGGAGGCAGCCTCATGTGGGCCCAAGGCCCTTTGGCCTCCAAGCGTCCACATTCTGTTCTCTTCTGGTCCCTTCGTTGTGAAGCCAGTTCTCCAACAAGATGCAATGAACAGATGTCATGTCTACACAGCACTGGGCAGGTCCTGAGGCCATGGGCTGTTTGGACTCACACCTCATTAAGAGACAAACTGTTCCTTCTCTCATTGGGTCATCGTGCTGATGGCGAGGGAGCTCTCAATTCACCCCAAGTTGGGGCCGCCGGTTGCTTCAAGAAATCTGAACTTGGACAGTTTGCAAACAAAAAGGGTAGCTCTGAATATTGCCCAGTGCCCCCATGATCCCCTCCCCAGCTTCACAGCGGAAGCAACCAAGGCACAGGGTGGCCCCAGTCCCAGACAGTCATCAGCCCCTTGGGCCTCTGCCCTTGGACGGTGCTGTTTCCTCAGACTCATTTCCTCGCTCCTTCTGGGCTGCGTGCAGGCCAGGCCAGGCCGCGGGAGCCAGGCAGTCATTTTGTCATTGGAAACGCTGATGAACAGGAGCAAGATTCAAACCAGCTGCTTTCCTCCGTAGGGTCAGGCTCCCTCTCCCTGGCTGCCCCACCAGCCTTCCTGTTCTGACTGTAGGGTCCCATCAAATGCTAAATGCAACCACGACGCCCCTTCCGTCTTGTCCACACAGGCTCTTTTGAGGATCTCCACAGGTCACACGTACAAAGTCCCTGCGTTCACCAAGTGTGTTCACCTGCATTGCTCCACAGGCAGCCTACACGCTGTGTGCCCCAGAGCCCTCCCTCTGGGACCAGGACCCTGCCAATGGGGTCTCAGCGCTGCCTCTCGGGTGGGGTGTGTGGGCCGAGGGGCACGGGGAAGCGGGCAGAGGGACAGGAAGAGAAGATGGTGTTTGAGGATGGGGCAGGGCCTGGGGGGAGACTGGGTGGGGGGAGGGAAACAAAGGAAATGCAGAATGTCAATGAAGGAAAGGGATCCTGCATTTATACGCACCTACTGTGTGTCAGGCAAAGATCTCATCAAGCCCTCAGAACGGTCCTGTGAGAAGACCATGAGTCCCACGTGGGTGATGCAGAAAGGGAGGTTCGGATGGCAGACCTCACTTGTCCCGGGTCACACAGCTAGGAAATGGTGGGGTTGGGCTTTGAACCAGGTCTGCTGCCTGAGCTCCTAGCTTCTTCAGCCCTTGGGAGAAGCGAGAGAGAGGGAAGGGGAAGGGGGAGGGGGAGGAGGAGGAAGGGGAGAAGGAGGGGGAGGAGGAAGAGGGGGCAAGGGAGAGGGACTCAGAAGGGGAGATCAGGCACTGGCGGAGGAGGAGTCAGCTCTGGAGGGCTTAGGGGCCAGGACGGCTGGGAGAAGATAGAGACCAGCAGTGAGAGCCACGAGGGCCCTTCAAACTCCTCTAGTCTAGGCCTTTCCCATTTTACAGATGGGGGAACTGAGGTTTCGAGAGCTGCCCTTTGAGAAATCTGCACAAGGAGGTGGTATGTGGCTTGGATGGAAGTGGTCATTTGTCCCCCAGCCCCCGCCACTGGCTCCCTCTCCCTCTCCTCCCTAACGTGCTCTGGCAGGAGCTGGGGTGCTCTGGGCCTGTGGTTGCCAAACCTTGGATGTGGAAAATTGTTGCTGGGCCTGGTATCCAGGACCAGAAGGAACCAGGAGGCCACTTGTCCTACCGTGAAATGATTCAGTAGGGGACTTCCTTGCTTCCTCCCTTTGAGGACAAAGTTTCTCTTGAATAAAGAGACTGAAGCAAGCGTGGGGCTCAGTGCTGGAGGTTCCTGCCACAAACTCCCCCAAAGTCCACCTCACAGAAGAGCAGCAAAGGCTCAGAGAGGTGAAGTGACCTGTCCAAAGTCACACAGCTATGTTGTGAGACAGCAGGAGAAACCCTGAGATTCCCAACCTACCATTCCCCAAATTTTGGACTTTGAGGAATCTACATTTTGAAAAAATTTCCCTCCACTTGTTTCATTTTCCTAGCAATCAAGGATATGAGACAGGTAGTGATACAAGGTAACATAGCAAGCTACGGCCGATAGGAGACTGAAACCCAGGGCTCCTGACTCCCACGTCTGTGCTTTTTGTCACGACATCAGGCCACCCAAGGACAGATCCTCCCATCTACAGGTTCATCTCTCCATCCTTTCACCCACCCACCTACTCACCCTAACATCCACCCAGCCATCCACTCATCCATCCATGCGTTTACCCCAACATCCATCTACCCGTCCACCCACCCATTCACCCCAACATCCATCCACCCATCCCTCCACACTACCGATCCACCCGTCCATTCACCCCAGCATCCATTCACCCACCCACCCATCCATCCACTTATCTATTCACACACCCATCCAGCTTTCCATCCATCCATCCACCCATCTCTTTACATAACCATCTCTATATTCACCCATTCATGCTGTCCATAAAAATCTATTTAATACCCCCTCTTTGCCAGGCCCAGTGGTAGGCACTGAGAATCCAGGGATGATCAGGACGTTTGGGTTCTGTCCTCATGAGCTCATTCATTGGCTGGTAGGAGAGAGAGCCAAAAATTTTTAAAAACACGCCCTAAATGGATAACAACCACAGGAAGTGCTACACACACATCATGGAGAGATCTGACCCTGTCCAGAGGCCAAGGAAACTGCCTCAGGGAAGAGATACTTGAGATGTGAAGGATGAGTAGGCCCTGACTCAATGGGGAGGCTAGAGAGAGGGTGCTCCAGGGAGGGAGAACAGTGTGGACCGCAGCGTTGATGTGGGAGGGGGCAGAGTGATTACGGGGGACAGAAAGGGCGTGGGGGCTGCAGCGGAGCGCGTGGAAAGAGCCGGGACCAGAGAGGATGGGGAGGAGGCAGGGCCAGACCATGGGAGGGCCTTTACCTGAGATGAAGGGGAGCCCACATGCAGGGGAGTGAGGTGCTCAGATCTGCATATTGAAACATGCCAGGGCTGCTCTGGGGAGGACGGGCTGGAGAGGGGCAGGAGGGGGAGCCCCGAGGGAGGCTGCGGCAGCCTCCAGATGCGTGCGATGGTGCCTGGGCTGGCGGAACAAAGGGAGCAAAGGTAGAGCCTGAGAGAAGTGGACTATTGGAGGGATATTTAAAAGCTGCCCCAGCTCTCTCTGGGGAGCCGTTAGCGGGAAACCAACCCAGGGTCCATTGCAACTGCACAGAGGCCTCGGCGCCTTGCTTTATTGGAGGAAATTAATTGTAAATATTATTCAAATCTGCCTCCCAATGCACAATTATATTTCTCAGGGGAGCCCTCTGAGCACATAATAAAGCCCTATAAATAATACATATATTAACCTGAGAGGCACAGAGGCATATTAATGCTGCAATTGTGGGTGGTGGCTGTGGGGAGTTTCTGCAGACGAGACTCCAAATGCTTGGACTTGGGGTTTAACTTTGGGGGTCCCCCGAGTTCTGTCCTGGTGGATCTTCCGGAAGTCTCTCCCCCCGCCCTGGAGAGGGGGATACCCCCAGGCATGTCAGCCAGCTATTGATCTGGAGACCTGGTCCGTGGGCAGGTGGGGGCCAGGAGAGAGCTGGTGAAGGGAGGAAGAAGCCCAGGTCTACAGGACACTTACCTGTGCTCAAACCTTCAAAAACAGCAACAACAACAATAATAGTACGCAGTCTTAACTGAGCATGTCGAAGGTTTGGGCATCCTGCAAGCACTTTAGTTTCATCATCTCATTGAGTCCTTACAACAACCTTTGTGGTAGGGGCCATTACTATCTCCATGTACAGAAGAGGAAATTGAGGTTCAGAGAGGTGAAGTGACTTGCCTGGTGTCACGCAGCTAAGTCACAGAGCTAGGATTCAAACCCCAGTCTCTTTG